TTTTTTTTTTTTGGCAATGAGTCTTTTACTGTAATAATTTTTTAAAAACATAAACTTTCCTCATAGCTTTTGTCACACTTCATACAAATATTAACAATTTAGGTTTTTTTCCCAATCTGTAACCTTCTGTATTTTTCTTGCCTTGATGTATTGTTTCAGATCTGCAGTATGTTAAACAGGAGTAGTGAGAATGGATACTTGCCTCAATCTTGATCATAAAGCAAAAGCAAGCACTAAGCCTTTCACCCTAAAATTTGATGTTAATTGTAGGCTTTTAAAAGTTGCTGTTCAACCAATTAACAAACCTCTGTACTCTTAACTTGCTGAAAATTTTTATCATGAATGGCTGTTGAAATTTACCAAGCACTTTTTCTGTATTTCTTAATGTTTTCTTCTTCTGAAACTTAATAAAGTGGATTGTGTTGATTACATTTTATATACTGAAATAGCCTTACATTCATAGGATAAACACTTGGTAATGTTTGTCTATTTTATATATTGGTGTATTTAATGTGTTAACATTAAGAATTTTTCATTTAGATTCATAAGTGACAATCAGTCTAGCTGCTTGCATTGTAATTACCACTAGCGCATGGAAATTAATTCATTTTGCTTTTGATACCTGGGTGAAATATTTGGTCCGTCGTTAAAACTGTTACGTCTTGCATTCTAATTTCTTATAATCTGTATACATTTTTTGCTAAGCATGCACTCTACCATGGAACTACACCCCCTGGCCCATATCCTATATAGAAATTTTTAATATTTTGTTTTTCTTCAAGCATAGCAAGCAAAATCATTTTAAAGTCGGTACCTAATAATTCCAGTATTTAAAATTCCTTAGATTGATTTCTGCCAACTATTTGGTCAGCACTAGTTTTCTATTTTGTAAGTGTATGTTTATTAACTCTTGATACTAAGTTGATCTTTGTTCTTTAGATATTATTTTTAGAAATTCTTTAGTACCAGGAAAAAAGCTGTATATTTTTTCAGAGAAAGTTTGCATTGCTTCTGCTAGTCTCCTAGAAATACTGAGTCTGGGCTGGCTTGCAATTTAAAGTTCCAGGCATGTGGCTTTTGAGACTCCTCTAATAATGTGAATTGGGCTGCCAGTCCCAGGATTTAAGTTAATTTAACTTTTTGAAGTTAAGTAACAGAAGTTAAAGAACTTGCTGCTGGATTAGATGTCAGAGGAAGTAAGAAATACAGAACTACTCCAGGTTTATAGCTTAATCAGCTAAAGCAGCAAGGGAACTGTTAACTGAGAAGTACAGAGTGGAGATGAATGGGGTTTGGGTTCCATTTTGGATATATTATGTTTGACTTTCCCATGTTATACCCAACTAGTAATTGAAAGTTTGCTTGTGGAGTGAATCATGAACATAGAAAAGATATTTAAAACTGAGGCTGAGGTCACCTACAGAAAAAAATAAAAATAGTAAAAGGAAAGAAGTCCCCAAGACCAAGCTCTGAAAAAAAATCACAAATTTGGGGGCTGAGGAGAGATAGGAGAAGAAGCAATATAAGATATGAAAAGGTCAAGTGGCAGTTTCCTTCGAGTGTAAGGAAGTACAGTGACCTTACTTTGCGTTCTACTTGATTTTGTGGAGATTCTCATAGGTTTTTGAGCCTCTGCTAATATGTTCTCATTTCATTTACTTAGTATCAAGTACTTGCTGTCAGCAGTTTTAGAAGTTTATATCACACAGGAGATATTTAAGATGAGTAGAGTGATTAAGTCACAGGGTACAGTCATGAATCAACTGTTCTTATAGTAGACACCAGTACTTCTGGCTGTTCCAGAATTAGAAAAAAAAAAATCTGTAGGGGAATAGAGTTGGATCCCAGGTAGTATCTGGGTGGGACTGAGTACCAGGACAGTTTTACAGCCACTGGGATGATGGTACTTCTAAAGCTCTCCTTAGTCCACTATTCTTTGTTTTGTTGTTTCTCCCTCACAAATCTTTCTTTGATTGTATCCCTTTCCATCATCTTGTTGACTCCTTTTTCATGTCTATCTATTGAAATATGTAAAGCCTCAAGGCTCCTTTTCCTGGATTCTCCTAAGTTCGCTATATCTGCCTGAGACTTGTTCTTGCTCATTGGGAAGCTCTGCATGTAAAAAGGTCATATCTTTGGCATTGGTTTTGGTGGATGCCTATGTAATTTACATTTCTCTCCCCTGCAGAACATATAACTTTGGATCCTAAAACAGCTCATCCCTGCCTGGCCTTTTCTGAAGACTTGAGAACTGTGAGATTTGGAAATATCCAGCAGGATGTCCCTGGAAACCCAGGGAGGTTTGACTTCAGTGCTTCTGTGTTGGGTGCAGAAAGCTTCAGCTCAGGAAAGCACTACTGGGAGGTAGCTGTGGACAAGGCAACACAGTGGCAGTTGGGTGTGTACAGAGACTGCTCTGCAGACAACAAGGACAACATGCCTGAAGCATCTCCAGATAAATTCTTACTCATAGGATCCATGATGGGTCCCGATTACACCTTCTGGGTCTTTCCCCCTTTAAAAAAGATCCACTTGCAAAAAGAAATGCAAAAAGTTGGAGTTTTCTTGGACTATGAAAATGGGCACATATCATTCTACAATGTGACAAAGAGATCCCTCCTTTATAATTTCTCTCGTCTTGGGTTCCAAGGAGCTCTCAGGCCTCTATTTTCTCTTTGTATTCCAAATGGAGACATAAATTCAGACTCTCTTACTATCTGCCCCCTTCCTGTTTCTTCCTGAAATGTCAATATTAGCACTAAGATCACAAGAGACCAGAAAGTTAAGAACAAGACATTGTAAAAGAGTTTGTGTAAAAGTAATCCAATAAAAGACTTCTATGAGTTGGATCTCGGTATAATGACCAGAGCCTTTGCATTAAAGTGGCTTTCAGCACCTGCTTAGTGGATGCGGTTGCATTTAAGCTGAATTATGAATGATAATATGCAAAAGACCCATAACTAGTTAGAACTATAAATGCATGTGTATCATAGGATTAGAAAAAAGAGAACAAATACAGTCTGGGGTTCTTAGAACTATGATTAGGGCTCTAGAACTACTTCTGAAACCATTTACAGAATTAAATATAATCAGAATTGAAAGCATGGTGATTTCATCATAGCTCATAGTGCCCTAGTTGAATGAAGATGTCCTAATACCAGTCCTGTTACTGACAGGGAGGCCTGTTATTACTGACAGAGAAAGTCAAGACTTCTTAACATGTATCATTCAGTACAGAAAAGAATAACTTGATTTTCCTGGGTAGCAAAGAAGGTGCTACAGAAAATGTGAATTTTTTTAATTATTTTTTCAAATACTCTTTTCTACTTCTCTTTTTGAAAAGGAAAATTAAATTTTGAAAAAAGTTTGGAAATTGAATGCTTTGAAAGATATGAGTAATATTGTGATGATGTCTTGTATTCATTCTTTATTTGCTAATTCACTGAAAAATGCCTTGTCTTATATCTTTGCTCAGGGAGGTATGTAATGCTAAGAAGAACCAAAAATATTTATTGAGGGAGAGACTTTTATGTAAAAGGTTTATCATGCTTTATTTTCCTTACTTTTAACAAACTGTACATATTTGTTAATCTTATTACTCAAGTGTAGAAACTGATACTCAGAAACTGGTTTAATTTTCCTGATGTCACATAGCTGTTAATTATCTAGTAAGTAATTAAAGTAAGGAATTAAATCTAGTTTATTATACCAAAGAACAAGATCTCAACACCCAGCTGGGAAGAGAATAAGACAAGCACAATAAAATGGCACAATCCCTTCCTACACACAAGTACACAGAAAGATAGGTCTTGAATCCTATCACATAGGATTGGATAGGCTTCCTTATTGTGATAAGCACACCTAGGACAGTGATCCAAATTCATTTATATTTCCCAAAAATACAAGCCAATTTCTACAGCAAGGGAAGGGAGCATGATATTTACCTTTCCCTCTGGTAGCTATACTGTGGTATACGGTGCAAGCTAAGTGGTTTTTTGTTTTGTTTGGTGGTGTGGATTGAAGCCAGGGGTTACCACTGAGCTACAGGTTTTTTGTTTGTTTGTTTGTTTTCATTTTGAGACAAGGTCTCACCAAATCATTATGTTACTCAGATTGGGTTTGTATTTGTGATCCTTCTGCCTCAGCCTCCCAGAGAGGGTTACAGGCACATGCTCCCCTGCCTGGAGGCTAAATTCTCAAGGATGGATGGACTAAAAGGGAACAAAAGGCAAATAGAAGAAAATTGAGTTATGGAGATCTGTAAGGCTGTCATCCTTTTTTTGTTTGTTTGTTCTACCTATCTTTTGGAGACATTTTCAATTGACATCTTGGGATTTTCAAAATTTGCTTCTAAAACATCATATAGTTTCTTGCTGTTGTTGTTGTTGTTTGCTTGTTTTACATTTATAAGTTTGTAAGCTTAGAGAAAAATCAGTTTATCTTCATACTGAATGACAAGGCTTGAGGGAAAGTGTCACTGCTTTGAGAAGGGGAGCCAAGTTAGGTGAATGAGTTGAAATGTCAAATTAAGGAATTGGTTGTCTAATTCTTGATTTTTGTTTGTTTGTTTGTGCTGGGGATCAACAACTTGGGACCTTGTGCTTGTGAAGCAGGCCCGCTGAGCTAAATCCCGGGCTGGCTCTCCAATTCTTAAGGATTATCTTCCCTTGAGGAAAAGAACACAGGGAAATGTGGGAGGATTTACCAACAAGCATATGCATGATTTTTTGATGTTTAAAAATCTCATTTTTTGATGTTTAAAACCATCACAAGCATGGTGGTGCATACCTACAGTTTTGGCACTTGGGAAGCTGATTCAGAAGGATCGTAAGTTCAAGGCCAGCCTAAACCACATAGCAAAATATTTTTTCAAAAATTTTTTAAAAAATAAAATGTCATGGGGCCGGGGATTTGGCTCAGTGGTTCTGCCACCTGCCTTCCAAGCACAAGGTCCTGAGTTTGATCCCTGGTACCAAAATAAAATAAAATAAAATCTCATGCATATGTCTAACTACTTAAAATTATCAGCTAAAAATACTTTGAACCAAACATTTATATTGGCATAAAACCCACAGTAATAAAACTAGTTTAGAATGAGCAAAAACTCATAAAGCTAAACCAGTGAGTCTCACCTGGGGTGGTTTTGCGGGAACAACTAGCAGTCTGGAGACATTGCCTGGGGGTCACAGCTCAAAATAATTTGGTGTGATGCTGAAATCTAGTTGGTAGAGGCCATTGATGTTGCTATATATTTTACAGTGCACAGTACAGCCCCACAGAAAAAGAATTGTCTGGCTCAAAATAGAAATTGTTTTGAAGGTGAGAAGTCCTGAGTTAGACTAACAATTATGACAAGTGTGGATAAAGAACTTTGAAAACTCAATCATGGGAAGCATTGTTATACCATTATCTGCATCCTTTCTCCAAAGTCCAGGAATTTTTAGTGTAATACTCATCTACTAAGACCTTAAGGGAAAGTTAATATCACATTGACTTTAACTTATAAACACCGCAATTAATTGTTTACACATTAATAGTAATAGACTTTGGTAATTATGCTATACATTTTTCTTTTCTTTTTTGATTTATTAATTGACATCCAAGAAGACTATCCAATTACAGCTAATTCTACTCTTTCAGGACTCACCTTAAAACCCTCCAGGCAAGGCTCTAAGCACTCTACAGTGGACCCTTATGAACTCATTTCGCTCATGATAGCTAATTGTAACTCAAGTTGGTTGTAAGTCAAGACTATTTCAGTCTCCTTAGTGAGACTTTGGCCCAGGAAAGGATGTTGTAATGTTCCTTCCAGAACTCTTTAAAGGTTAAATCTGTATCTGAGACCATCTGGAAGGACTTCAGGAACAGATCCTTTGTGTATAGCTTCTTTAAGTTAGCTATAGTTTGCTGGTCCATAGTTTGCAATAGAGGAGGTGTATTAGGTGGGAAAACTTGATAGAGAGCCATGGGCAGCCAATTCTTCCAAATCTCGTGGGTAAGCAGGAGCATTGTTCATGATGAGGAGCTTTGAGTGGTAAACCTTTGTCCTCTAGATATTTCTTAACAGGACAGAAAGCTTCCCTGATGCACTCAAGAAAAAGTACTCTTGTTGCTCAGGCTTTTGTGTTAGATCTCCACATGACCTATTCTTCATGACTGTTTTCTGAATACTCTAAAGGTATGAGTGATAAACCAAGAAAAGCTTTATCTTGAGGTGACCACTTGCATTGTCATATAGCAATAACATTAGTCTATCTTTCATAGACTTATGGCCTGGCATTTTCTTCTCTTCTGGGTCATGTACTCCTGGGCATTTTCTTCCAGAAAAAGACGGTTTTATCACAGTTAAAAACTTGGGAGGAAAAGCAGTCTCTCTGTGTCACCATTTCAAAGTGGTGTATGTAATTTTCAGCATCCCTTTTATCAGCACCGTGCCTAGTTATGCTGTGAACCCCACTTCTCACTTGAAAATTGTGAAACCACTCCTTATTCATGTAAAATATTTCACCATTATCACTCGTTGATTGATTTTCCTTTACATTATCTGTATTTATAGCTATAGCTTTTTCACAAATTAGAGTCAGACAGGCTATAACCTGGCATCTGCCTTTCATTTATCCACACTGATAATAGCCTTTCTAACTTATCTAACGTTGTTGAACATGACTCACTAATCTGAGTAACACCTTTAGCAACACTAGCTTCCTTATACAAATCTTTTCTTTGTAAGATTGTTGAGATGGTGGTTTTGACATGCTATACACATTAGCAAGATTGGTCACACAAACAACACTTTCATACTTCTCTACAATTTCCTTCTTTTCAATTGTGGTTGCTTTCTTTACCTTCCTTTCCTTCATTAACTTCTTTTCTAGCTTTTTGGGGGTCATTTTGATAGCAGTAATTGTGGCAATTATATAAAGCCATGTGCACAAATGCATGCATCTGGGCTCAGACTGACACTTATGTATGCTTACAAATGCTTTTCTAGTATTGAAAGTCTTTGTTTACAATTGCACAGGTGGCCAGCATTCAGGTTGTAACTCAAGACTTTGGTTGTAAGTTAAAACTAAAACTCCGATAGTAACCAAGTTGTGTTTGTATGTGAGGCTGGTCATAACTTGAGGTCCACTGTACATATCTTTCTCCATTTTGAAACACAGTAACACTGTTAGGTCTGTGTTTTGCCCTACGACAAAAAGTCTAATTTGTCAGCTTTGTTTGATCTGCAGGGTTTGGGGATGATCTTTTGAAAGAGTCCAGTAGTGAACAGTTTTCATCTTTTGAACAACAAACTACAAATTCACCTTCACCTACACAGATTATTTCTCCTTTTTTTTTTCTATTACAATAAACTTTTTCCTTTTTTCTAACTTGTAATACCTCCAAATATTTCATGAAATTCTAGCTCAGAAATCAGGGGTTGGAAAAATTTTTCTTAAAAAAACCAGAGAATGATTAGGCTTTACTAGCCAGCCATATTAATCCCTCTTAACACTAACTGTGCCACTATAGTGCAAAGGCTTGTACTTAAATGATTGTGTAGATGTATTCCAATAAAACTTTATTTATAAAAATGCAGGATTGGGCCGAGGATTTAGCGCAGTGGTTTCGCCGGCTGTTGTGCAGGCGCAAGGACCCGAGTTCAATCCCCGGTACCCCCCCGCAAAAAAAAACCCCGCAAAATCCAGGCCTTTGTCAATTTGTGCTGTAATTATTACCTCTGTTTAGTATTCAAACCATCCCTCAGTCAGGGCCTTCCAAAATTAACTTCCAAAATGAGAATA